CCCAAGAATTCCCGCAATTTTTGGGGGGTCTTGGGAGGAGGGATGTCGAGTATGGGCTGTTTGCAGGCTTCTCTTAGCCAACGTTTTCCATCCTGGATTTTGTACCCCAGGTAGGTGACCTGGGTCCGACAGATTTGGGCCTTTTTGGCAGAGGCCCTATACCCCAAGTCTCCTAAAGTCTTTAAGAGAGCTTCTGTCCCCCTCAGGCATTCCTCCTCTGTTTTGGTGGCTATCAGGATGTCATCCACATATTGTAAGAGGATGATCTCAGGGTTGTGGACTCTAAATCCGGCCAAATCCTGATGCAAGGCCTCATCAAAGAGGGTGGGGCTATGTTTGAACCCTTGGGGCAACCTAGTCCATGTAAGTTGTCCCGAGATTCCCAGGTCTGCATCCTGCCATTCAAAGGCAAACAGTGGCTGACTGTCTTTGTGTAACCGCAAGCAGAAGAAGGCATCCTTTAAATCCAGGACTGAGTACCAAATATAGTCAGGTGGCAGTCCACTCAGGAGGTTATAGGGATTGGGGACCGTGGGGTGTTTGTCCTCAACCCGCTTATTGACTTCCCGGAGGTCCTGGCTTCTTGACTGGCAACAGGGGAGTGTTCCAGGGGGACCGGCAGGGGGTTTGGGTCTCTGAAAGGTCCTTCTTTCTAAGTGAGGCCCCCTTTGTCCCTCTCTCTACCTATCCTGTCTCTGCGACTACTGTGGCCAACAGTTTAGTCATTTCTCTATTACGCTTCTTGTCCCTTGCTATCCTGTCTCTCTCATTTCCTGTCTCTGACATTCTGTTTACCTCTTTTCTCTCTCTCTCTGAGCTTCTCTTTTATTAAAAAAATACGTTCTGTCTCCCTCAATACATCTGGTAGTGTATACCCCTGTCATATGGGTTATACATTCTGTAAGCTTCCTTAAGTCTTTCAAAAAAAATGCGGCTGGCGATTCCTCTGCCTTCTGAACTATCTGTCTTACCTGGGCCAAATTTATAGATTGCTTATCCGTCTTTTGGAGACTCGCTACAAGCAACTGGCATTAAAGACATAGATGGGTCCTACCTGCCTCAGTGGTGAAGTCCCAGTCTGGGCAGCATCAATTTCATTTGGAAGCTGCGTAGGTTGTCCATTTGCCCCAGGAACAATTTTTTCCGGGCTTCAAGAAGGACCCGCTGTCTCTCCTCCGAAGTTAGGAGGACTTGCAAAAAGCTGTTGGGCAGTGAGAACTGATTCTAATAGATCAGTCAGTCTCACGGGGTCTGCTGAAAAGGAGGGGTTATTATTTTTCCAGTTATAAAGATCTGAGGCAGAGAACGGCCAGTACTGCAACTGGCCATCATGGCCCGTCCGGAGGCAGGGCGGTTGAATCCGGGAGCGGGCTGAGGCCGCGGCGCCACCCGGAAGGGCCGGAGCGTCTGCCGGGGAGCGGGGGCGAGGGGCGTGGCCGCTCTCTGACCCGGTCCATCGCGGGCCGCAGGGAGGCAGACAGCTCCCCTCGCATTGTCGCCGGTCGCGCCGTCACATTCAGGGCGCCCTTCGCGCAGCGGCCGGGACACTGAACGCGAACCGGGAATGAGCTGCAGTCCGAGCAGTGCCTGCAGCTGCGGCGGTGGCGGGGGTTAGGGAAAAGGAGGGGGAGGGAGGGTCATAGACCAGCACTTCCCAGGTAACTATACTTGGTCCGGGTGGCCCTGGGGTCCAGGATCCACTTTCTCTTTCACCTGGAAAATAATTTGAGAGTTAAAGATGCCATCTCGTGGCCAGCCAACATCAAAAGTTGGCCATTCAGAAGAGCAAAGGGTGGTCCATTGCTTCTTGCGCGCATCGACAGTCTGGTTACGAGCATCTCGAGAGCGATGACAAACGACATTCAGACGGACGAACAGATAAGAAACAAAAACAAACAGATTTTCGCTGCGCGGCTTTGACGAAAGTCAAAAGCAAATTCAGATCGGGGACGGGGGCCTTGTGCTCCCGTCCTTGTCCCCTATCAGGATGGAAACTCCCTCGGCCAGCGGGACTTCCCCAAACAGACGGGGCAGATTCCTAGGCATCTACCCCAAACAACCGAGTCCCTAAGAACTCCAGCTCCAGATACAGACCTGCCCCAAACAGACGAGTTCCCTAAGAACTCCAGACGGGGCAGATGGACATCTGCCCCAAACAGACGGGGCCCCAAACAGACGAGTTCCCTAAGAACTCCAGACGGGGCAGATGGACATCTGCCCCAAACAGACGGGGCCCCAAACAGACGAGGCAGATCGTGTCCTAGAGCTGCGGTCGGTGCCACCAGATACAGATGTATACAGCTGTATATTACAGACGCAGGCGCAATAAAACAACAGGCATAGACAGACAGACAGCAGACAGCAGAAACAACAGAAATTTAGTCCGGACAATTCTTACCTCCCAGAAGTGGGTCGGTGGTCCCTGGGCAGGGTCTCAATTCCCGGCCAACGCACCAAATGAAAGACCCCAGGCGGGGGACTTTCACGGGAGGGAGACCCGAACCCAAGGAACACCGAGGCCACGAGCTTGGATGCAACAGCAAGAGGCTTTATTGATAATACACGGGTACCCGGGGCATCTCAGTCTCGGGAACTGAGAGCCCCGAGCTGGGGACTCAGGGGTTCTTTTATAGCAAAAAGCGCAGTACAGAAGCGAGAAGCCTAGTTACGGGACCCTGATTGGGTAATTTAAATGAGGCTGGGGCTCAGAACGAGATTTCTCTCATCTGGACAGAGAGGCAATTAAGGTTTCTCTCATCTGGACAGAGAGGCAATTAAGGTTTCTCTCAGAACTCAATTCTCGGCCTTGGCCCTATCTGAAGAACAAAGGTTTCTGTGCCTGCCCAATCTTTCTGGGCTGGCTGTGCAGACCATAGACACCTGGGCCCCTATCTGGACAGAGATAGTAGTGACTATGCAGCTGTAAAGACCTTGAGCTGAGCTTCCTTCTGATCAAAAAAATGACTATTCGGCTGAGCTGTGGGGGAAAGGAATTTTCCATAGGCCTCAGCCACCTGTGCTGGGCCGGGGTCTTTCACCTCGAACTCACAGAGATCCGCCTGCCTCTGCCTCCCGAGTGCTGGGATTAAAGGCGTGCGCCACCAACGCCCGGCTTGTTTTGTTTTTAGAGGAGAAAGAAGTTTCTGCATCAGCAAACAACCATGTTTCCAGGCAGGGCCTTATTTTCCTCCAGCTATGGCTGGCACTGCCTCGTTTATCAGGCTTGCTTGTAGTATGCTTCTAGAACTTCAGGGAAGGTTAGTATGTGGACAATATACATTTAATTAAACAGGTAAAGTTTAGTTGTGGTTTTTCTGGTTAGTTGATGTGTGTGTGACCTTAGAGAGTTCACCCACCCTCTCTGAACCTCACCAGCCCCAGCTGGTGTTCTGGGTACGGTGCAATTGAATACGGAATTGCTTGCTATTCTAGAAGATTCCTCCTCATCTTCCACTCCTATGTCCCTTGAGCTGGCCTTGATAGAAACCTCTCCCAGTCCTTCTCTCAGCCATTTCTTTCCTCTTTCCTGAATATGTACTATTTTATTGCAGGGTGTGGCTTTAATCCACCATCTCCCGCCACAGGCTTTCCTGAGGCCCAAGCCTACAGCTTGAGAACACTCAGCTGGACTTACCAATAGGCCTGCCTCCTGTCCCCTGCACGGTCTGAGCAAGCTCCTCTTGAAGACTGACATCAGAAAAGCTTTTTTTCCCCCTGGAGTATTGTTGTTTCCTTCTGGTTTCTATGAGACAGGATCTTGCTGTGTAGCCCAGGCTAGCCTCAAGCTGACCCTCTTGCCACAGTCACTCAGGTGCTGAGTGTACCGCCACACCTTGCTTTGGCTTGTTTGCTTTCCCTTTCAGAAGATGAAGACAGTGTGACTCCCCTTCGCACCAGCTGCTTCTGATCGACTCACACCAAGTTCCCACTGTCACTTTTTTCTCTTTCCATTTAAGTAGGCTTGGTACGCTTTTTTGGCAGATTTTCTTATTTTGAACTGTATTTCCCATTCTTGGCTGGGGTGTAAATCCCAGCTTCTCATTTGTGTATTTCATCGTCCACTTTTTATTTCTGGGGTGGAAGTGGGGAGCTCTGTGCACACTAGACAAGCTCAGTGCTGTGGTGGCATTTTCTATGGGCCACCAGCCAGCTCCCAAATAAAGACATGGAGACTTACTATTAATTTTGAATGATCAACCCTAGCTTAGACTTGTCCCACCAGCTCTTATTCATCTATGTTTTGCCTCGGGGCTTTTACCTTTCTTGCATTCTGTTTGTCCTACTTTCCTGCTTCTTCTGTGTCTGTCTGTCCCCTCATGTCTCCCTGTCATCTCCTTTTCTTTCTTTCCCTGAGCCTAAATTCCTTTTCCTTACTCTCCCTACCCTGAAGTCCCTCCTATCCTTCCTCCCTCACTGTTGGCTGTTCAGCTGTTTATTAGACCAGTCAGGTGCCTTAGGCAGGCAAGGTAAACAGCAATGTGTCTTTACATAGTTAAACAACTGTGAGACAAATCTGCACAGTTAAGCAAATATACCTCAACACAATGGCACTGAGCTGTACCAAAGCCTTCTTCATCCACTTTTTTAAAAAAAGTACTTTCCAATTTTTCTTACATTTGTTTATGTTGTGTGTGTGTACACACATGTGTGCCACAGCGTCCTTGTGGAGGTCAGAAGACAACACAGGGGATCCCATTCTCTCCACCTTATGGGTTCAGGAATCAAATTCTGGTCCTCTGGCTTGACAGCAACCACCTTATATCAGTTGTTTTTCTATTGCTGGGATAAAACACCATGGCCCAGCCGGGCAGTGGTGACGCACGCCTTTAATGCCAGCACTTGGGAGGCAGAGGCAGGTGGATCTCTGTGAGTTCCAGGCCAACCAGGTCTACATGAGCTAGTTCCAGGACAGCCTCCAAAGCCACAAAGGAATCCTGTCTTGAACTCCCCCCCCAAAACCAAACCAAGACAAAACAAAAAACCACCATGGCCAAAACAACTTATAAAAGAAAACATTTAATTTGATTTATGGTTTCAGTGGGCTAAGGGTCTGTCATGCCCAGGCATGTGGCAGGAAGCAGCAGCCGTGTTTGCTGGAGCAGCTGACAGTACACATCTTGATCTGAATGAAGGAGACAGAGAGCACACTGAGAATGCAATGAAACCTCAGCCCACCCTCAATGACTCACCTCCTCCAGCAAGGCCACGCCTCCTAACCCTCCCCAAACAGTTCCACCAACCAGGGACCAAGCATTCAAGCACATGAGCTAAGGGACCATTCTCACTCAGACCACCACACACCCTTACCCTGCTGCGCCATCTCGACAGCCCCTTCCAAGAGTAGCCTTGAACTTACAGCAGTCCTGCCTCAGCCTCCCAGGTGCTGGAGCTAGTCATGAAGCGCCACGCCCCTCTCATCAGCTGCGTTTGTGACATGCTGATTAGAAGTGGGAGGTGCTTGCCTCTTCCGTGCCGCCATTTCCCCGGTGGGACTCTTCAGCTGTTGCATTGCGAACTCCTTTGTGTGTGAGAGACACAGAAGAACTCTAAATGATCGTTGTTGTTCACTTTTCTTCTTCCTGCTCCCACTTCTTCTGCTCCCGATGACTTGGGTGGGCTCTTTCCCCGATCCCTCGTACAACCAACTCTTTGTCTCTTTTCCTGTAGTGCGAAGTGACCCCCGGTGACAGACAGAGAGACCAAGAAGTTAATTTCAAGGAGTCGAGAACAACGAAAAAGACCCCTGAACTTCTGAGTGGACACATCCCTCCGGGCTATATTCCCAAGCCCATTGTGATGCCCGACTACGTGGCGTGAGTCCATCTTGGTTTTCCTAACACTCCCATTTGGGCCTTCATCCTCGATCTTGTCACCAAGTCAGCACTGTGCTTCACGTTGCTTATGCGAACGGTTGTTTGCTATCCAGGGTCATGTTGAAAAAGAAGAAAGGGGGGCTGGAGAGATGGCTCAGAGGTTAAGAGCACTGACTGCTCTTACAGAGGTCCTGAGTTCAATTCCCAGCAACCACATGGTGGCTCACAACCATCTGTAATGAGATCTGGTGCCCTCTTCTGACCTGCAGGGATACATGCAAACAGAACACTGCATACATAATAAATAAATAAATAAATCTTTAAAAAAGGAAAAGAAAAATAAGAAAGGTGTGCCGGGTCTGGCCACTGAGCGAGCGACGTGTTTCCCCTTTTCCGCTTGTTTCAGTGTCCGAATGTTTTCCACTCTGCGGATGGAACCCAGGGTCTTGAGCATGCTAGGGAGGTGCCGGCACAGGCCTCCTGCAGGGTAAAGTTGTCACCCTGATTTGTGATATTTTCCCCCAGAAAATACCCCGTGATTCGGACGGACGACGATCGAGAACGCTATAAGGCTGTGTTCCAAGACCAGTTCTCAGAGTACAAAGAGCTGTCTGCGGAAGTGCAGGCCATCCTGAGGAAGTTCGACGAGCTGGACGCCGTGATGAGCAGGCTGCCACGTCATTCTGAAAACCTCCAGGTCAGTGGCCACACCTGCTGCGAGGAGGCAGATGCGGAGGAGCAGACTCCCACCTCATAGGCTCCCGAACACCTATCCGTTCTCTGCCAAAGCGTTTGAGATCTTCAGAGAGGCTAGGCAGCATTCCCATTCCCGTCGGAGAGCACTCACTGCAAGCAGAAGGCCTTGGGTTTGATCCCAGAGCTACAAAAGAAGGAAAAGCGTTTCACAAATTATAGACTTTAATGTCTTTTACCGTTGCTGCCTTCTTTTTGTCTTTTGATCTGGTGCTGGGGATTAAACCATCTCGTGTATGGGGGACAGCCCTCTGTCATCCTCAGCCCTCCTACTTTATGAACTTGCCAGAGATATAAACCATCAGAGTATTGAAAGACACAAATGGCGAGCTCAGAGTAGACCAGTTCCAGGTGGGGTGGTGGGTAGTGTGTCCCCACCCTCTCAGTCCTAAAGAGAGCTGGAGAGATGACCAAGAGCCCTGGACAGCTGCAGCCCAGTGACCTCCAGGGCTGAAGCAAAGAGGACAGCCATGGTGTGGCGGAGACGGTGATTATGGAAATGAAAGGAAGTTTTCTCTGGAACATGAGCATTTATCTAACTATTCTTTTTGGGGGGTGGGGGCTTCTCTTTCTTTCTTTCTTTCTTTCTTTCTTTCTTTCTTTCTTTCTTTCTTTTTCTGAGGCAGGATTTCTCTGTGGCTTTGGAGGCTGTCCTGGAACTAGCTCTTGTAGACCAGGCTGGTCTCAAACTCACAGAGATCCACCTGCCTCTGCCTCCCAAGTGCTGGGATTAAGGGTATGTGCCACTACCACCTGGTTCTCTAATATCTAATTATTCTTTATCAATAAAACTCAGGAGTCAGATATCAGGGTAAGGATCTGAATGATGAGAGAATTGGTAGAGAAACAGCCAGTGACATACACACACCCACACCCATTCTTCAGTCCAAAAGCACTGAGAACCTTTCTAAGCTCTGCCCTGCTACTTCCTGTGTCTCTCTCAGTCCTCCAAAACCTCTATGGTAGTTTTGGTCAGCTAGTAGCTAGCTCGGCCCTCTGATTCAAAGCAAACTTTATTGGCAGTCTTGGGATTGTCAACCTGGTGGTTGTGGTGAACACCATTAATCCTAGCACTGAGGAGGCAGAAGCAGACAAATTTCTGAATTTGAGGCCAGCCTGGTCTACAGAGCAAGTTCCAAGAAAACCAGGGATACACAGAGAAACCCTGTCTTGAAAACCCTAAACTAAGAAAAAAAATACAGGATGGTCAGGCATGGGTGGCAAGCCTTTAATCTCAGCACTCAGGAGACAGAGGTAGGCAGCTCTCTGTGAGTTCAAAGCCAGCCTGGTCTACATAGCAAGTTCTAGGACAGTGAAAACTGCATAGTTGAGACCCTGTCTCGAAAAACAAACAAAACAACTGAGCCATCTAGTTGGTCCCTTGTGCAACTTTTTAAAAAATGCTAAATACACACACACACACACACACATACACACACACACACACCACATGAGCCCAGCAATGGTGGTACATGCCTTTAATCCCAAAATTTAGGAGGTAGAGGCAGGCAGATCTTGCCTGGTTTACAGAGCGAGTTCCCAGACATTAAGAAACCCTGTCTCAAAAGAGAGAGAGGGAGGGAGGGAGGAAATTTTTCTAAATACACACACACATTTTTCTTTTGAGGACCCATGTTAATTGAGTGGTCTTTGTTTTTTATCACATATGTATAGTATACATTTAAATCACTCTTGGTTGTGAATTATCTAAGGGTGTGTGTGTGCGTCATTTCTCCAACCCTGAAAAAATGGAATAGTGTTAACTAAGCAACACCAGTTCCTGGAAGCAGGAGAAATCTGGCAAACACTAAAATAGTCAGTCTGTTACTACCATTTGAAAAATACTCAATGTCGGCAGGTCCCAAAGGGTAACCAAGTTCAGATGGCTTCAGAGGTGGTGTACAGGAAGAGCCACGAATGGCGGCGTGAGCCTGCGGTCCCAGTCACTCGGGAACTGAGCGGGGGAAGCACCTGAAGCCAGGAGTTCTAGGCCAAGGGAACACTCTGAGATCTTGTCTCAAAAGAAGTTGTGTAAGGGAAACCAAGGCATGTGTGGCTAAATGGAGACATTTATGTAGTCCTCTGTCTTATTGGAGAGTCAACCTCTTCATCTTATTTATATTTAGTATAAGGTGTATAATAGCATTAGAAGGCACCTGCTAGTAGCTCTTCTTGGGAGTTGAATAGTCCTAGCCTCTCACTCAAACACCTGATTGACTCGGAGGAGCTGTCCAGTGTGGTGGTTTTCACGTATCAGGCCCTTTATCAGGATCATTGCAAATAAATGAACTTCCTGACAGCCGTTTGAGTTGGTTGGGGAGGGGGGAATCTTAGGGCAGGTGGTTACCCAGGGTCACACAGCTCCCAGAGACCAGTGCCTGGCAGCTAGTTAGTGTGCTGTTGGCCCAGTAAATTGGATTTTTGAGTAACTATTTTCATACTAGCTTTGGGTTTGTTTTGAATAGTGGTCTACGCCTGCCCCCAAGTGCCAAAATTAGAGGTGTGTGCCGTTGAGCTTGGCAGAAACAGTTTTCTGTTCTAAATCCCAGTGTGCTTTGAGACATGATTTGAGTAAATGCATGTTTTAACTAAAATAAAGTGAAATTTTTTATTTTTAGGAACATGAGAGAATTTCAAGAATCCATGAAGAGTTTAGGAAAAAAAAGAATGTAAGTAAAAACAATTTTCTTGGTCAAAGTGTCCTTGTCCTGGTACATTGGTGATAACTGACAGACTTCTGATTCTTTTAAGCTAAATTATGAAATGTCTCTCCATGGAGTCTCTGTTGACTTGGGAGATCGCACAAAGGGTGGAGTTGGGAAAAATAAGGGAGAGACATTTATTCATGTTTCCTACGCTTACCTCTTCACACATTTTGACTACTAAAGGTATCTCCCTACTCTCCATATGCCCTCACTTTTGCTATGACCCTAAAGCATGGGCTGTCTTGTGTTGATAGAAAGGGAGAAGTGTGATTGTTCTAATTGTGCAGATTGTGCAGGTAATTTTGCTGTTTTCTGTGTGAGGATGTGTCTGCTCAGTAACGACTGTTTCTCCCATAGGACCCTTCATTTCTGGAAAAAAAGGAGCGTTGTGATTACCTCAAGAACAAACTTTCTCACATAAAGCAAAGAATTCAAGAATATGATAAAGTAATGAATTGGGATACGCAGGGTTATTCTTAGCCCGTCTGAAACTGTTTTTATAGCCAACTATTTATAAATTGCCTTTATATGCTGGGCTCATGGGTGAGGAGCGGGGGCTTCCAGCTCAGCTTCTGCTTGGCTTAGCGTCTGTGGTAAAACAGTGTGATTTTACTTAAACACTTCAAAACAACTTCAAACCCACCGAGAGCCCTTACTGAGAATGGAGAGGCCATGTAGTCACCTGTGTACAGTTTCCCGTTTTTCTCATCCAAATGTGTTGTCATTTTCAGTATCCTGTCGCTGGGAGTTCTGATGTCCCTTTTCCCTCAGCCAAACTGCTCCCTTCAATGTCTCTTCCGAAGAAAAATTCTTAGGAGATTCTTCCTAGGGAAGTCCCTCCCTTCACAAGGACTTGAAGCCAAGATCAGTAGTCATACTTTGTGACCTTGGGCAAGCTGATTAAACCTCTGTGCCTGTTCCTTCTGTAAAATGAAGCTAAGATGGTACCTACCTCATAGGGCAGTTATGAGGGCTGCATGTGCTCATATTTCTCAGACATGCAGAACGGAGCCTGCCGCTGGATCAGCACCGCAGTTGACATGCTGGTGAAACGGGTCAACTACAAAGGATGAGTCTCCAGAAACAGTCCTTAGTCAGCGCTTACCCTAAGGCCGCCCGTCCCCTGGTTTTGTCTTTGTGCCTTTCACCTTTCTACATGAAGCCTTAAGCAGCCGTTCCCGATGTCGTTTGTGACCTGTTATGGACCCCCCACCGCCTCCCTGTATGTAGTCAGGGTCACTCTGCAAACATCTCCAAGTCCCGTGGCCCAGCCCGTCCCGTGCACATGTGAATGACATGATTCATTAGCACACTTCATCTTACCAAGAAGTATCCTGGCTGACATTTCATTCATGAGAAATGGTTTTACTATTTTTTTTAACATTTTTTTATTAATTATACA